ACGCGCGCAACGGGTTCGTTTCGTCGTGTGGCGTCGTGGGATCGAAACGCTCTGTTGCTATTGACGTAGTTGGAGCCTCGCATGGCAGATGGCAGGTGGCATGTGTCGCACTGCAGTTCATGTTCGAAGGTACGGCATGGAATGTTGCATGGGTGGGGGATGGGACGTTTCGTTCGTCTCTTTTTGGATGGGGTTGAATTTTCGAAGTACGCACTATATATCGACACATTTGCGAGTTCATGGTTGATGCGGTTGGTGATTTCTTTCTTTCTTTTTCCTTTTTCTTTTCTCTCTCTTCATTTCTTCTCTTGTGTTATATTAGATATATGTACATTTATACGAACGTACTATGTAAATACTACATTATATGGGTTGTGCATACACCGAGACACGCATTATTACTTCTACTAAATTTTAAATCTCAACAAAAATATCTCCCCCAATTCTTACACAGAATGAAGAATTAATACAGAAAATGCATCGCTACCTACCAAGCATCCACCTGAGGCTCAGATTTATAAAGTGTCTCTGATAAGAAAAAACACCCCCCGGCTCACATCTCGCTACACCCCTGTCCCCTGCAATGCCCGAAACCCCTTCGGCCCTGAACATCCACACCCGGCCCAGATCCCAGATCCCAGATCCCAGATCCGTCAGCATCCAATACATTCATACAAAATCAGCCGGCCCCAGCGAATTAGCTAGGCCTCCCGGTATCGACCCCCATGTAAGATGTAGGGATGCCCCTCCAAATCTTAATTGAACCTCATCTCACACCTGCATTCAGCTTTCAGCCCGGAGGGGCCCCTCAGCATCGCCGCATCGGTCTTCCCCAACAACCGCGCTTGGTACATGGGTGGGTTAGAGCTGCGCTGCCAGTTTACTGGGTGGAAGTGGAAGTGGAGTTGCTTCTTCGTAACGGAACGAGGAATCCTTCGCGCCGCTGAGCCTGTCGACCATGCTCGTACAACAGGCAGCGCAGCGCAGGGATGATGTGCCAGTTTTCTATCTCCGTCAAACACACCTGGGCCGTGGGGCTTGTCCATGGTATGATAGCGAGCGATGAACTAACTGCGTCTGAGATGGTTGACGCTGCCGGTTGCGCTGAGCGTGTAATCAAGAGGCCTTCGCTGCAGCTTGGGCTTTTTTGGCAGCGTGAGAGGCACCCCTCGCCCCAGCCCCCTGGAATAGAGCAGGACGAGGAGTGTAAAGGAGAACGACCAAGGAGCCTCATGCCAATTATAGTCCAAGGCCTTTGAGATCATCTCCTTGAAAAGCCCCATTTATGCCTTGGAGAGATGTCAATGTCTCTGAGATGAGTTTCAAGCACCAGGAATGACATGCAGTATCGGCTGTGCACTTGACTACAGCAGTTGGCTGAAAAAAAAAAAAAAAAAAAAAGACTGCTGAAGCAAAAAAGCAAAAAGGTAGAAAGCGAAATGCAGATTTACGCGATGCTTAATTAGATATTATTTCAGATTTCTGTTCGTACCACCCTTGTTTATGTGGACGAGTCTGGTTGTGATAGAATGCACCGGCTTCAGAAGAACAGGGCTGGTCTCCTTTGACATGCATACCAGCCCAAGTGACCAAATCCCAGCGAGATCAGCGGTATCAGGTATTTCCCGACATATGCTCAAGATATGGCATTGTTCTTTATCATGTTTTCCTAGGCTCGACTGACTCATCCGTCTTCGGAGATGTGTTCTGGGGGAACCGCTTCATCATTGTGAGAAATGGTCTGAGCCTAAATCAGTTCTTGCTATGACAGTTCCTCCTCTCATCTGCACGGAGAGGGTAGAAAATGTGTGCTCCCAAGCTTTGGTCAAACTTGTGTATTTTACCACCGTAGTCAGATTTAAACCATATTGAGGAACTCTTCGCTGAGTCGAAGGCCTTTATCCCGCGGCGTTGACACTCCTAGGAAGAAAGCCCGGAGCAAGGATTTGATTTCTTCCTTGAATGATATGTTGAAGTTGCGAATGCAAGGGAACAAAGTGCAGAAGAGCACTTTCGGCATGCAGGCCTGACTGTTGAGATATAACTGACTGGGAGAGCAAGAGGGGGGAAAGCTTTGTTGTTCAGTCTCCGAGAGATGTTTTACTGTTGAAAAATTAGCTTTCATATTTCACATTTTGCAATGCATTCTCCACAGTGGCTAAGAAATAGGCTAGCCTAATCTGCCTACTACCATATATACCGCAGTTCCTGACGGTTAATTGTAAGGCATGAGCATCACCAAGACAGCCTGTATAATTCAGGGACGCTGTCTAAGTAAAACTTCTATTATTGCCATTTATATGCCCCAGTCTCGTGGCAATCAAGCCCGTCATCACATGTGGACGTTGGTGAATAATTCACGCTTTCGTACTTCTCAGTGGAAGGCTATGGGCTAGCTCTGGAGGACGAAGAATCAATTTCACTATGTTATAGACTGAGGACTTGTCGTAAGGACATTCTAAGATCATAGAGTCCCCTCAGTGCATATATCAGCGTGGAGTATTGGTTAGACGGATCGCAGGTTGCCTGGACCACGCGCAATTTCCCGAACACAAAGGTCACTACTGTTGCCTAATGGGCAATCAGCGTTTGTATAGCAGTGTAAAGAAGAAAAGTATGCCCTTGTATGTGTTGAGCAAAGTAGCGGCTCAAGAGCGGGTTCATTGGGTGACAATCAGCCGTCTTTTCGCTTGGATATTGAACCTGCGAAATAGGTCACTTTCAAAGATTGCCTATTTTCCTTGCCAATATGCCCGCAGTGAGAACATACACGGAAAAGAAAGGGGGAAAAAAAAAGAGACGTTCCATTCCACGAGTTGAAAGATGAGAGAGGGGATAAGGGGAAGCAAAACGTACCGTCAATGGGGCCTTAGTATGTCAACTTCGGTGGCATGTATCTGTGTCTCCAGGCGTCCCAACACACTTCATTCAGCTGGAGGTGAAAAATGGAAGTGATCCCCATGATTTCACTTTAAAGAAGGTATTTCTTGCCATTCTTGCTCTTCGGGTCCAATGTTGAGTGATCCGGACGGTGTCAAAGAGGCGAGGACCATGAACACGGCGTTGGCTGTTAATGACCAAGCCTTCAGCCATCACGGAAAACAACGGATTACCAAGCCTGCAGTAAAAAGTCTGCCCAAGATATTCAGGACGAGCAGAGTTGAGAAAACTAGTACAAATTCCTTTCCTCTTGTTCCCTATGTGAGATGTCAACTCCTCTATCAAGCTATCAATCGTTATCTCCGCCCAACCAGTCCAACTGTCATCGACTGGAGGGTCCCAGGGACACTCCCTGGTTGCCCGGAGAGTTGATCCTCGGGGAGCTCTGGATTGTGTTTTGCAAGAGCTGGAAGCTTTATAAAATCAGGCTTTTCAGTTGTGGCGGCTTTACAGACAACTTTCAAGCCTGCTGTTCTCTGCAAAAGGCGAAGGAGAACGTGTCAGGCTGATAGGACCCGTACAGATTGAACAGCCACGGCATCATATCACTGAACTCCTGCGCGTCTGAGAATGGCTCATACTTTGATTAGCTGCATAATGGTTCCTGTAGATTACACATATCCTGCTGTGAAAGTGGCTCTAATCGTTATCATTTTAAACTTGCGATGGATGGAACCAGGGAAGAAAAAGGGGTTAAAGGAGGTGAAAAGGGGCAGTTCAAGTTCAAATGCGGCTTATATAAGCCACGGACAAACCATGCAAACCATCTCAAACGTTCAAACAACAACACACCGCTGAATAAAATAATAAACATGTTCGACTCCCGTCGTTGCTTCGCCTCTTATCGGAGACTACGCAGCGTAGACACCATCTCAGCCTGTCAACCGCAGCACCAAGGAAAAAGAAGAGAAGCCGGCACTCAGCACTATCCAGCGGCCAGAGAATCCAAACCCTGCTTGCTTCTCTCCCTGCAACCCTTCGCGCTGTGTCATTTGTTCAATCGCTAACCGACCATGCGTCCCCCACGATCACCACACTTAAAACCTCTGTGCCTCCTCACCCTCCTCGCCCTCCTAACCACCACCGCCTCCGCCTCCCTCCTAATAATCACAATCCCCCCCTCCCTTCTCCTCCCAAATCCCAACTCTCTCCCCGCCTCCACCCACGCAACCCTCACAACCCTCCTCGCCCCAACAGACCCCGACGCCAACCCGACCCAGACCCTCCTCCTAAAAGCGCCCCTTACCCGCAAATCGACCTTTGTCTTCGACAACCCCCGCGGAAAGGGGCCTCAGTCTTTCCTCCTCGATATTCGGTCGCGGGATTATGTGTTTGTGCCGTATCGGGTTGATGTTGATGGGGAGGGCGGGGTGGTAGGGGTTTGGGAGACGTATCGCGGGAATGCGTGGGAGAATCGGGGGCCGGAGAAGGTGGTGATAAGGGATGTGGATGTGGCGATCGTTGAGGCGAAGGTTGTGGGTGTTAGGGGATTTTATGAGGAGAGGGCTAAGTGTAAGTTTTACCTTTTTTTTCATATTTATTTATTTGCGTGTTTCTTGGGTGAATTGTAAGGGGGTTGGAAGAGCTTGAGAAAGTTTTGTCTGAATTGAGGAATTTGCTTTTCAAGAATTGATGAATTACATGCTAACATGCTGATGAATCGTAACCACAGTCTCCCCGTTGAGCTTGTTTAAGAACCCAATGATTCTCCTCGTGGGCTTTGCCCTTGCCGTGACCATTGGAATGCCATATCTTATGGAGCGGAGTATGTTTTTCCTTTCCCATCCCACGCTTCATTCCCTCTTTTTTTGTTTCCACTCCCTCACCCGATACCAAACGTTAACGTGCACTAGTGGACCCTGAAACCCGCGCCGAATTCGAGCGACACTCCCGCAAATCCGCACTTACCGGCGCAGCCAATGGCGCCGGAGCCGGGGCTGCACCTGGAGCTGCTGGATTCGATCTTGCTGGCTGGATGGCTGGGACGAGCCAGGGACCCATGGCCGCTCTGGATTCGACAGTGAGAGCTGGCGCGGGGGCTAGCGCAAGTGGGAGAGAGAGCGGAGCGGCGGAGCGAAGGAGGAGGTGAATTGTGTATGATACATGTATGTATCATACGTGTTGATTTTTTATCCATAAGACTAGATGTAGACTTGTATGGATGGCCGTATTTTGATAGTCTTTATATGAAGATGGATCCTTAAACTGACGGGTTATCGAAAGCAGATGTGTTTTACTACGATTCTATTAATTTAGGACTTTCTTGAATACATAGGACTGGACCGCAAGGTCTCTCAGAATACGCCTTTCCATGCAATCCTCTTCATATTTATTTCCATGCTTCTTCTGATTGATTGTCTGCAAAATGTGGCTGAGGCAACATGAGCCGTAGCATTCATGACGTCATTCAAGGTCCCCGCCCGTCCGGAGAACCAGTCGGTTCTTAGCCCCCTAATCCAATTGCCTATCCCATGAAACTCAGAAAATGGCTCAACGACGCACAGGCATAAATGGATTTGTTTCTTTCTCAGTCTCAGTCGAATAGTTCGTTCACCACTTTCTTTAAAATAAAACGAACTGGAAATACTAGAAGTCCTCACCATAACAGGTCAGCTGCTGCTCTAAAGCCCTCCTCCCTTTGCTTACACCATCGACATCGGAACTCTATAGAGACAGAAACAGAAACATGCCCTACGCACCCCCTCCAGGGCCCCCACCACCCCGAGTTCCAGATGGCTGGAAAGCACAATTCGACGACCGGTATAAAGAATGGTATGTCAATCACCCATCGATCCCCCCTCCCCATCCCAAATCGCTACCATCCTTCAAAATGGAACATTCAAAAGACGCCAATATGGGCCTATTCTAATATCCCCTCCTCTTAACAGGTTCTACGTAAACCTAAAGACAGGCATCTCACAATGGGAAGCACCACCAGTCCCCGACGCACACCCTTCTAACGGCGATCCAACCTCAAGGGCGCCAGTCGCCGAACCACCTCCCCATTATGCCCCGCCTGTTACTCAGACCGCTGCCCCTGGCGAGGTTCATAACAATCCCGCCACCGCAAACCTGTCAGATCTCGGCTCAAATAATCCATTCAACCCCATGCGGACGGGGAGTTCTTACGGATCAGGACCCGGTTCAGGTACAAATGAAGCCGTGATGGACGAGGACGCAAGGTTAGCTGCACGATTGCAGGCGGAAGAGAATGGGCAGGCAGGCATGATGGGACAGGGATCACTACCACCGCAGCCACAACCACAGCCACAGTCTTTGCCACCTCCCCAGCCACAGTCTTTGCCACCTCCCCAGCCACTGATTGAGGAACGCCGCAAATCTCCCGGCGGCTTCTTGGGCAAACTGATGGGCAAAGCGTCGTCCAAGACTAATTATCAAGGCAGCGGCTTCAGCACTGCCCCGTATTATCCACCACCACCACAGCAGCCGCCGCCGCAGCAACAGCAACAGCAACAATACCCACCAATGCCACAATACCAGCAGCAACCCTACCCGCAACAGCAACAGCAACAACAACAACAACAACAATACGGCGGCTACTACGGGCCCCAACCCAACACGCCATCGTACCCGCAATACGCTCCCCAGCAGCAGCAACAACAACAGCATCACAAACAGCATGGACGACCACGCATTGGGCGGGGTGGTGCTGCGGCGCTAGGACTGGGCGGCGGGTTGCTGGGTGGTGCGTTATTGTCGAAAGCGGTTGGGAGTTATGGAAGGCACGCGTATGAGGAGGGGCTGGCGGATGGGGCGGATATGGATGATTATAGTGACGATGGTTTTGGGGGTGATGATTTTGGGGGTGGTGATTTTGGGGGCGACTTTTAGCTAGTTTTTGGGCTGGGTTTGTTTTTATCATCATTGGTGTTTTTATGAGTCTGTACACAGCGGGGCGTACCGAGTGGCGGCGCATATGTGAGGGTTATGTGTTGATGTTGGGTGTTGGAGGATTCCCGGCAAGCCACATCTTCTGGCGGTTGATCTAATTTCTCCTGTCTGGCAGAGAACATCTCTTGTCATATCTACGCTCCCTGCTCCCACCTCCTGTTCGTGTTCCTGGGTGCTTCAGAATAGCTTGTGTGATCCTTTGCGTTAGTTATAGCGTGTTTTGTTAACTGTTTTGAGAAAGGTAAATTTTACCACGCATCTACCGTGTCAGTTTGAGACCACGATGCTCTTCCTCCCTCACTACAAATCAAAAGCACGATGCCCTTTGCACAAAATCCCGCCTGCCGCAGTTACCCACGGTCTGCACAAGCGGTATCTCGAAATATGGAATGGAGATTCGTATCCCAAATAGGGGTCCCCAATTGAGAAAACCATTCCCTCCATAAGAATCCCTCATATGTTTATTAACTGTTTATTAGCCGTTTAAGATATTTACATTGTATAGCTAACTATGCCCGGCAAGAGTGGAGGCAAATAAATAATACAACCAACACATGGCACAAAAAGGCAATATTCCATTCCCCCTCTCCATAAACCAACCCCCCCCCCCCTCCAACAACTCCAAAAGCCACAATCTTCCCCCTACACCGTCCCCGCAATCAGCATCTGCGCCCAAAAATACAACCCAAACCCCGCACTCGGCCTCAACCAACCAGGATGCCCCTCATTCCCTTTCCCAAACGCATCCCTCGCCACAAAGAGATCAGACGCAACAAACATCACTGCTCCAAGCAGTCGCTGGTGCGCTGGCGCAAACCCCCCAGCAGCAGTAGCAGGAGCAGCAGCAGAAGTCGATGCGGCAACGGCCAACATGCCACTGATGATGGCCGAGTAGCCGAGCACGAGAGGACGCATGTCGTCTGCTATGGAGAGGTTGAGTAAATTGCAATTGGCCAAGCTGGCAGCGTGTTTCGATTTCGACTTCGACTTCGACTTCGATTTGGTGTTTCTGGGCGGGTATATGATGCCTGTGATTTTGGCGAGCAGCATGGAGGCGCCGAAGGTGGTTGTGAAGATGGGCCAGGAGATTTGGGTCGAGGCGCTGCGGTTCGTGGTGTTGTGCAGGAAGGCGAGGACATATGAGATGTGAGCGGCGGCGAAGGCAGCGACACCGGCTCGGAAGGACTTGGAGATGTCCTGCGGCGTTTCCTCTTCCTCTTCCTCTGCTACGTCTTCCTCCTCCTCTTCCGCTCGCTTGCCAGCACTGCTCTGCTTCCTAGCAGCATGCAAAACACCAAGATGCTTGTCGTAATACGCTGTCCGCGTGGGAATGAGACAGTAATCCCCGACGGCAGAGAAGACCAATCCCGCAGCAATGCGGAGGTGGTATGGGTTCCATTGACTCAACTGGAACGGCGATGAAGGGGCCAGGTAATAGAGCGGGCCGGCCAGGAAGGCGGCGGAGGAGAGGAGTTTGAAGATGTAGCTTCCTGGGTAGAAGGAGAAGCGCTCTGAGAGGACGAGGAGGGGGAGCGAGATGTTCAGGAGGTGAGTGGACTGGGGCGGGGGGAGGGAGAGGGTCGAGAGGAAGGGCGGGAGGAGGGTCGAGAGGTTGGGCATTGTTGGAGGTTTTGGTTTTTTGATTTCCTGATGTTTTACGGCTATTGGGATAGCTAGTTTGGGGGAGATAGAGATGCAAACTGGGGAGGGTCTTGTTTATTCAGTGAGAGAGTATAGCTATCTCTTCATCTACTCCGTCCTTCATTCACATCAAACCCTTGTAATGCCTGATGGTGACGGTGGAGGTGGACAAGCAACCGCCTCGGCTAAATCCGCAGGAATTTAGCACACTGGAGAAGTGGAGAATAGGAGCTCGTTACCTAGTCAAATAGCCATTGGCATGCTGTCTGCTGATGATTATTTAAGGTATAAAAGGGTGCCGATGGTTCAACACGGTTAGATCTTTACCCCTTTATCTTCAGTTGATCGGAACTCGCTCTCTGAATCAACCCTTCAGACAACGACGTCATTCCCGATAATTTTAGCAACTCTTCGGCCCGAAGCCTGTTTACCGATAACTAGTTAACGACTGTGCTGTGAGGTTGCGTTCATCTAATTACAGGTATCTCTGCATCCTTTCCTGACAAGACTGCGCATCATTGACATTTAGTTAGGCTTGCAAGGACTGTTTAACTCTCTAATTCGAAGGTCCCCTGTTACCCCTGAAAGAACCACCGTTTGCCCCGGAGTTACCAGTTGTTCCTGCGTATCTCCATCGGCCCGATAAATGTATTTCGATCCACGGGCGGAATTTCTAGTTTTTTGATAAATATTTAGATGCTGTGATATCCACCTGGTAGAAAACCGACGATTTGATTTGATTTTTTTTTTTTTTTTTCGGAAGAATCTGATACAAAACATGTTTTCAGAAGTGAGTTTTTTTTTATGTAAACTGGCCGGCATAAGCCATATAAGGAAAATAGGGTAGAGTTGCATATTCCACTGCTACAAAAAGCCGGGTGAAATCCGCATCGATAGATCCAATCAATCAAGTGGTTTTTTCTTGTTTTTCTTTTTTCCCTTTCTTTTTCCAGATATATGAGGTTCAATGCTATTCACTTTTCATGTATAGCCTCACAACACCTTGGGTTCGTTCATTCATATATCATCAATCCCCTGATTCCTGGAACCCCAAAATCTCCAGGTTGTCTCAAGTCATCAACATGGAACGCAGTTCCAGAGTATCAGCTACCTAAAAATTCTATTGACGCCTTTTCATGGGTATCTTGCACGCCTCCGCAGGCCTCTTGTCAGGAGCAGGCGAGGGAGTATCCTGCGAACTCTGCATGGCCCCGAGTATGCTGCTATGCTGATCAACCTACCTGCTTCACACCGGGACGCATCTTTCTATCCGTGCTTTCATTACATTCTATGATGTGAATAACTGATAACTTCCCGGAGTTTGGTAACCGAAGATTATCCGCCGAATTATTTAGGAAGCCCTGCTAATCTCTTCCTGCCTCTATTAATCCACATGTGCGATCTGCAAAGGTCCACCCAACCCCGTGTTGCCGCTGGGTGACAGGTTTTGGGTCCATGGCGTCGCGATCGAATTCTTTATGTAATACAATGTACCCTTTTCTATCCGTTCTCTCGTTCCGCTTGCATCATAGCCAAGTCGGATCAACCCTTGATCGTATTCCTCCCTTTTGATAATATAGTTATACCAGCACCTGTTGCCAGCGAACTATCTTCTCTCACATCCATCATAACTTGCTAACAATCCTGCATTTTGTCCCCGTGTTTTTGGTTCCCATCCATCACATATGGCCCAGCTTTCGGATCATGATTGCGGAAATCATTTTCGCAAAGCATTAGCATCCTGTCTTCAAACTTTTGAAGTTTCTAATCTTTGGACAGGCTTCTCAAGCCAGGGTTGTGCAGTTCGCAGCTCAGCTGCAAACGCATCTTCAGCTTTCATGCCATGCCTTTTCTTCTTAGAAGTATTTGTCGAGACAGTTGGACAAAAGATTCTTAATCGAAGCCCGTCCAAAATCAACTATCATCGGGCTTCGAACGGGTGTCATTCCGTAGAAAGTTCCGTGGTTTCAGCATCCCATGAAGAACTTCTTGTTGACGTGTTGCCTGAAGGGTGCCTACGATCATACTGGATATTAATGCAACCACCTGTCCAACTGCAGTGAGATAAAAATGTTTCCTCGTCTCCCGATCTGAACATCCAGATTTGGCACACACATTTGTATATTTGACAAATCGAAGGGTCCGCAGTGATATAGAGGATAATAGCCTGTCCAGTGCAAACATAGCCAGATTGCACGCCTTTGAGAAGAATGTAGTGAAATAGCTGGGTGATCACTGCAGTGACTAGGCACATTTGAATAGAATTCAGGTGAGTCTTCCTCCCTGTTGATCACGTCCCTGGCTGGCTGTATTTCCTGAGTCAGTGCAGTTGCAATCTCCTCAATCGTAGGTTTGTGTGGCACCTTATTTTCAATGGTTATTGCTGGCTTACATGCCTTCGTTTCCTTCGGCTGCGGACACAAAATCCGTTCTTCAGAGTGGAATATCCTCTCCAGGGACCATCCTCTTTCGCTTCTTCGGAGGTTGCTCTCCACTTGTAGATGGAATTTCCTCAGTGGATGCCTGCTGCATTTCCTCCTCTGATTGGCCCTGGCCCAGAACTCTTCAAGTTCAATTGATTCTCAACAGTACTACGTTTGAAGTAGCGGAGACCCACTTCTGATATGATTGGATAAATTGTCGTGCGCGCATAGTCCAGCTGAAGAGAGGAAGGAAATTGTTTCCTTCACATAGACCATGCGTGCTGGCACAAACGGGTCCAAAATGTCAGAACTGCTCCTCCATGAAGCTCCCCCATGGAAATGCTCCGTGAAGGATAATAGCGTCGAGTCGGCTTTGGTGCCCCTTCTTACATCGCCAGTGTGTTGAATCCGTGACATCCTTGATAGCCAATGACAGAGTGTGGCAGTTCAACAAAAATGCCCGTAATTAGTCGGATCTGAAGCCCTCACCAGCGTTCGAGCTTCTGTAATTTCTCATTTGCCGTTGTATTTCTTCTCGTCGCCGTTGTGTTTCTTTTCGTTCCTGTTGTTCTTCTTTTCGTCGCTGTCGTTCTTAAGCAGCTGTTCACGATACGCCACCTGAGCTTACAAGGTGACTTGTATCCAGCCCACTACCCTCCCATATGCTAATGTTGCGCCGAAGCTTCCCAACAATCCTGTTTGGATAGGGCGGGGGTTATGATTTCACTGAAATTTTGGCGCTCTGGCAGTGATCTTCACTTAAATCGCACTTCGCTTGGTCACGTTGCGTATATATCCCATTGTGTCATCGCCTGTAGTGAACTACCAAGGACTTTGGATGTATTTAACCAGGCTCACTCAGGAGGTTAAAACGTAACTAGGTAAAGGATCCTATGATATTCTATGGAAGAGGGAATCCCCCTTTCCAAGAGCAAACAAACAGAAAACAACACCCAAAGTAACTAAACAAAGTAACAAGGTGGCTAAGGACTGTAAGGGAACGATACTCTGTTAGAAAGAGATAGTTAAGCATAGCTACTTATTTAGGTTGGACACAATTGTGGCTTTTCCGTGGATTTTTGGTGCTCTTCTCCGTACGCAGCTCATTCCGTTAGTTAAAAACAAGTTTCTGATATAGACACAGGTAACCTTCACTTCTCTCCTCCCTTCAGCAGTAACTAACTTACGGGGTAACTGACTAGTTAACTGCCAATGCGCGTTTTCCTCTCACAAGCCCTGGCTCTGCCCTCGAATCCCCCCCCTGGGCCTTGATCCACGTTTCGCGTTTCCAATCCCACAGCATAAATTTATTTACCTCTGCCTGCGCAATTCCTCGCTCCGTGGCCATATCAGAAAAAGCCTCCGCTTGCCTCTTCTGGCTAGGATCGGGACCTGAAACTCAGGACTTCTCGCAAAGACAACCGCAACAGAGGACGCTATACTCCGCGCACTAGCAAGCGACCAATCCCAGAACTTGAACACTTAGCTCTATGATTTCCAGGCCCAGGATATAGTGGCAATTTATGTGTTGGGGAGGTAATGTAACTACTGTCCAAGGTTGACAGAAGCTGAGTCCGAGGCTTGCCAAATTATCAGATCTGTATCATTACTCACAGTCACAACTCGATGAAGCAGTGGACAATCGACTCTTGAGTCGTCACACCGACGCTCTCGACGCATCTAGGAAACAGATTGACAATCATGTCTCGCCGATGCGAAAGACAGACTTCTCTCAGTTCAGGGCCCAGTACGTACTGTTCCATCCCCGCAACCATTTATCACTCTCCGAAACTATTGTTCAGCGCGCCCGCGCCCCCCCGCGCCCCCCGTTGTAGACAGTTCCACTATACGAAACCACCCCTGCCGGGTCATTTCCAGTCTGCACTCTCTGGCTACCATTCGGCTGTGTATGGTTATAATGGTGGTTTTACTGGCAGCGGAGATTTGACAAGGGAGATCTGATAATGAGATTTTGTGGCAGGAGCAAATCTAGATTTCTTCTCCTCGCCCGAACACGGTCTCCAAGGCCTCCCAGGCGAGACCAGCGCCGAGGGGGATGAGCTAGAGGTTTCCAGCCAATTGCTACGACTGCATGAGCCCTGCCAGTACAATCAATTCTAATCACGGCTTTCCTGAATCTTCAGATCCCATCAATGTACTGCTATATAATGCACCAAACTTCTGCGGATATGCCGCTGTCTACATGATGCTAAGATTGCATCTGCTTACATCGACATCAGGGCCCTCTCGAAGGCGTTGTCCAGTCAAAGTGCCTCCATCGATACTTTACGGTGACAAGATCAGTCTGGCTGCGCGGCTCCGGAAGCCTCTGCAGTAGCCAGCCACTACATATGAGCCTAAAACAAGTCAGCGTCTCAGCACATAAAAGCGGTGCAGGATTTTCACAGACAAGTCTCCACCGGTAGCAGCCACAGTTGCAGCCTGTCCGGTTGCGTCGCCACGCAGCCCAGTATCATATTCCCAGTCCCATATATCCGTCTCGTCACCCCACAGGTGGTGACAGCAGATCGCCATTACATCCGTTGCCCGTTCCTCCACCATGTCCCTCCAGTTTGGGGGTCGCGTCATTGGGTTTGGGTCTTTTTGCAGGTTTGATGGCCATGAAATCTCAGGGGAACTGCTCTCAAAGTCGATGGTCCCTCTCCGTGCGGCAGTCAGAAGAGCAAAAACAACCTAGTTCTCATCAGCGAAAGCTGCAGTGACAATAGAGCACACTTCTTACCTCGTTGGATGATGCCTGCTGTTGGGATTTGGTGCTAGCAGCATTCTTCACTACAACCCATCCATCTCTGTGCAGACATTCGAGCACTTGAACCGTTGTGGGAAAACTCGAAAGGTCCAGAAGCACTAGACCAGACTTAGTATGCACCTGCTTAAGCAACGACATGTCTATTTACTGTTATGTGTTCCTCTTCATGATGGTGCGGGGCATCGTCGCGGGGGCTGCATATATATCGACTCGAGCACGTGAGTCTCGGACTTGGCAATAATTTGGGGCCGCCTGCCCCATGTCTGATCGACCGAACCCCGTCCAAATGATGAGGAATCTTAATCTTCTTGCCAGGGGCAGAAGCCAGTTTATCCTTTGTTGTCGATGAGCTCATCATGCGCCCGCGGGACGGGAGCTTTGTTATGAGGGAAACGGGACTGTGATGAGAACTTTCCAGTCGAAGACGACTCCGGGTTGATAGATAAGTTTTTATTATGTCTTGTGTCGGTGGTGGTTTTGGCTTCTAAGTGCCTTTCTCTTGTCGGAATCCTTGTGTTGCCTCATGCACACTTCTCCTTAGTGAATTGGTGCAGTTATTTACTTTGATGGCCCGGTTGGCATGCAGCCTGCATATGTTTCAGGGAAGCTCCTGGAAAAATGTTTGGTTTTCACGACCAGCCGCAAGGAGCAAGGGCCTGGGACGTAAACTGTGGTATATATAGTGTTCTTCCCTACAGAACTCAACATCAATATGCTAGAAATACAACGAATGAAGAAAGCAAGAAAGCACCTACGAGAGAACTTGGGGAACAGCAACAGGCTTTAAAGAACACATCCGATTCGCTCCACGGAGCCTGCTCCCCGAGCCCCCCCAAGTTCGTCTAACACGAGTATGAACACTTTCATGAAGTGTGCAGCTTATCTTTTCCCCCCACATGCTCCATACTCGGTAGCTTCCAGATCCCGAACGGCCCTCGAGATCACGCTGAGTTGGGAGCAGAAATGGGAGTGCAGGCCCATCCTGCAACTCATCACTAGAGTTCCGATAATTCTTCTCCGAACGCATAATTCGACGCACGCAGCTCTGGCGGGATCGCTGTTCCATGTCCAGCCTCATCCATACAGTGGGCTATGGCAGTCAGAGCATGAGAGTTTCGCAATTCAAACAGACACTTCAGGGGATAGGGATATTAGCAATGAGCTGAAGAAAGGCTTGAGTCAATCATACCAAAGCAAATTCAACCAGTGTGGTATGGAGTTCAGGCCGTACCTGAAGACACTCCATAACTTCACGCCGATTGGTATGTTCATGATGCAAAATAAATAAATAAATAAATAAAAGTCTTTTGAGATAAAAAGAAACGGTTAAGAATTTATAGATTACAACATGAAATAATCTGTTACAGGAAGATTCAAGCATGGAGAGACCAGATCCTATTATACTAAGAGGCCATGCGCTGTAATGGTGGCAATGAGCATACAAAGAACAGCTGCAGTGAAGCTGGAAAGATCACGTCTGAAGGAAAAGCTCTCAAGTCAACAAGATCCTGGGGATAGCGGCTCTTATTAGATCCAGCAGTTATAACCACATCATATTGTCAAGTAGATTAATATTCTACTAGTTATCCTACATATAAATTACTAGGAACAGAGATGCACACTGGTACGGCCAAGCTTACCAGCGCAGAAAAGGGGGTAGCGGGAACTTCTGATCCACCGCCCCCTGCGTAAATCCAGGTGAAATCCGTGAATCTCAAAGGTTTGAATTGAAAGGGAGATTGACTATACCATTATACAGTGATGTGACTAGGTTTTATGGACGTTCTTCTACCATGTTTGTCCTTCCATTATTAATGCAATGCAGCCTAATAGGTCATACGCTGAAACATATGTTGTATAACATCTCAGTCGACTGCTGTATAATATCTTCCCCGCGGCCTGCAGTTATAGAGGAAAACCAGCCATTGAATAATAATAATAATAATAATAATAAAATAAAAATAAAAATAAAAATTCAAACACCTCAATATCATATCCACCATCACACACATCATATAAACCCCAACCTCTCAAGAAACATGCCCTTCACCCTTCTCTCCCTCCTCGCCACCCTAGTCACCTCCCCAACAACTCGGAAAACCCTCCTAGCCCTCCTAACAATCTACTTCCTCCGACTCCTCTCCCGCACCCTCTCCAGCCAAATCCGGAACAGCTGGTCCCGCCAACGCCCCTGGGACAACTCCCGCGAACTCGTCCTGATAACAGGCGGCTGCAGCGGGATCGGGAAACAGATCATGCTCGATCTAGCCGCGCGGGGCGTCACGGTTATCATCATCGACGTGAAGGAACCGGACTTCGAGCTGCGTATGCAAAAGTCTATTGACCACCCGTATCAGTTTTAGCAATAGCAATGGCAATGGCAATAGCGATAGCACATGCCCATGCCCATGCCCATGCATAACATATACACAGACTTACATACCGTGATAAACAAAACCCAGCACAAACCGTAACCTTCCACTCCACAGACGTCACCAGCCCCTCATCCCTTCACTCGCTGCACACCCACATCCTCTCAACCCACCAGCGCCCCCCAACCGTCCTAATCAATAACGCCGGCATCGGCCTCCCAAACTCAATACTCGCAACCCCCCCCTCAACCATCCAGCAAACCTTCGCCGTAAACACCATCTCCCACTTCTGGACCGCGCGCGAGTTCCTCCCGCCCATGCTAAAGGCTAACCACGGCCACATCGTCACGGTCGCCAGCATGGCGTCGTTCATCGGCCTGGGCGGGATGGCGCCTTACAGCTGTTCGAAGGCTAGTGCGATGGCGTTTCATGAGGCGTTGGGGCAGGAGCTTAAGTTGTGGTACAGGGCGGATAAGGTGAGGACGAGCATAGTGTTTCCGTATTGGGTGAGGACGGGGATGGTGGGGGGGTTGACGGGGAGGGGGGGGAGAGATGTAGGAGGGATGCCGGTTATGGACGTGGAGATGGTGTCCGGGGCGGTGGTGAAGTTGGTTTTGGGGCAGAGGAGCGGACAGGTGATTTTACCGGAAGGGTATGGGTGGTTGGGTTTGTTGAGGGGTTTACCGGAGTGGATGCAGGAGAGGGTGAGAGGGCGGGTGTCGAGGATGTTGAGAGAGGTGGAGGTGAGGAAGGGGGCCTGAAATTGATTGATAGATGCAATCGGTAGATTGGAAAGGAAAAAAAGAAAAGAAAAGAAAAGAAAAAAAAAAAAAAAAAAAAAAAGCGTTTACATAAACTACCAGACCTTTAACTTCTTCCCTGTCTCCGTCTCCGTCTTGTCTCCAGATGCAGACTGAAGATCGGCGCAACATGGCACTCCTCCTTTACCAGCGGAACACTCCACATCCGGAAACCCAGCCTAGAATCCGCATTAACAACGAAAAATCCGCGGCCTCCACTCACCTTTCACCCTCCCACAAAACCCCTAACTCCCTGCTCCAAAAAGTCTCTCCCCCCTCCATCCCTGTCAGCACCCTCCCCCTCAACATTCCCGCCACAGGCGCCGTAATATAATCACCTCTCCACTGCATGCCTTTAACACGCTCCCATTCCCCTAACAAAGTCGTCCACGGCGACATCATAACCGCCCCACCCAAATCCATCCCCCAATCGCCACAGCTAAATCGCCGCATGTGGATGGGAGAGATGCGACAAGACGCCGCCAAGGAAACACATAGCGCGGATCCCGAGGGGGTCGTATCTTCATCTGCATCCGTATCCGCATCTGTTTTATTGTGCAGGATATACCGCAGACACTCAACCGCCTGCCGCAGTTGGGTCGGGTGGACGGCGTGCGGTGTCAGCAAGGACGTCGGCACGAAGATGGCGAGCGATCGTTTGCGTTTTGCATGTCTCTGAGGAGGGAGGTTAGGTAGTAGCGGCAGTAGATTGGGTTAGCCGCGCCCCCTGCGTATATGTACATACAATAGAGGCCTTAGATGCGGTTCTGTATGCAAGTGTATTATGCGGAGGTTGTAATTTGGGATATGTCAGAGCGTCGCACTGTGATACTAGATTAGGACATTTTTTGCATCCGGGTCTCCGATCCATAGCTACGGCGCCGTCGGGGGGAAGTGGACGGACGGGATGGCGCGGCCTTGTCTTTTTGGCGTAGGCTTTCATAGACATTTGTTGGTGGAAGGGCATGATGAGTCCGGGAGATGTCATATTAATACAATTTTCATGTATACACCGTAGCGTAGCTTGCGATGGAATCTGTTTGCATTCTTCGACGGCAATGCGTTCAATGCATGCATGCGTGTACACTACATGTCCTACACACAGGTCCATGCATGCATGTAGAGGCAACATTCAACTCACTGCATCTGCAACGGCGACAAGCTCGCCGTGGCCTTCCGCAAGATGGCATACCCGACATGCAGCGGGAGCGTTGTTGCGCGCTTCTCGCTGCGAAAGGGACGCCCGTGAGCAGGGCACACTGCCAGAGGGAGAGCTTGGTGCCTTTGCAGAATTGAGGTAGCCGTCGCCATTGTTGATGTGTCTGTCCCCTTTCCTGTGTATGGGTAGGTCTGTGTATGGATCCGCCCTACAGCGTCTGCAGCAGCTATACCGCTATTAATGGTATAGTTAAATAGCAAAGCCGCTGCAGCTGGCTGAGGAAGAGACAGACAGACAGACAGACAGACAGACAACAAACCACTTCGATCCAACTCAGCTCAACCTCGTTTCCTTCGGAATTCTTCAGCTGAGTTTTCCCCCCCCTCCGCCCATTTCATCTGAAATCGCGGCAGTCTAGGCCCTGTTGTCGATGGGTTAGTTAGGTTTAAACGACTTAAATGCACGCATTCAACACAGAAAAGCAGCTCTTTTCACCTCGTAATTAGGTGCCTATCCATCCACCGGCGATGCATCCGGCTTGGTCGAACCAAATAGCCTAGGTAAGTAACGAGTTGAAGCATCACCGACCAAGGTAAACAAAACCTCCTTGGCCAATGACTGGATTGGTTACCTGACCTTGGTCTCATCGTTTGCGTCGTATGCTTCTTGGACGGGTTTCGTGCTGGTCCGATTCCCCACCTCCTCCCCACGATTCCCCCTTTGCGCATGGATTCTCATGGGCTTGTTGGGCTGATGGCTTTCCACCGTCTCCGCACCCCGCAGAAGACGGGCGTCGCACCGAGGCTGCTGCGGGAGACCTGTTGCTCATGCCAGACACTATATAATTATATATTTGCACATATAGAACATCTGCAACCGTGGGGATCTGCTCTCCGTGGATGAAACTGATTTATCTATCCGGAGCGGTGCAGGTGCCAGAACAAACATCTCTCATCGATAACTAATTAACTAAGTTAACTTAACTCACTGGGATCGCAAAAGCGGAAAACAGAACTCTAGGGTAGCTCCCGTTTAACAAAAATACCGTCAACCAGCCAATTGATGATCCCTGTGCCCTGCAATCCTTGCTTATTTACGGACTTTTCCTTGATGATGAACGGCCATAGCGATCGCAATGCCCACGCTCACCTAGGAAACATCGACATAAATGCTTCCAATCCTTCTTACACCTGCGACATCCTCATCATAGGTGCCGGCATCTCGGGCATCAACACGGCGTACCGGCTCCAAACCTCCCTTCCAGATTACAGATATGTCATCCTCGAAGGCCGCGATGCCATCGGCGGCACCTGGGATCTCTTCAGATACCCGGGCATCCGCTCGGACTCGGACCTGCACACCTTCGGCTTCGCCTGGAATCCGTGGAACCAGGATAACCCCATTGCAGAGGGCCCCGCGCTGAGGGCATACATGCGCGATACAATTAAGAAATTCGGCATTGATCAGCAAATCCAATTTAAACACCAGGTGCAGAGCGCCAATTGGTCCACAGCCAGCAATGCATGGACACTACACGTCGACAACGAGGGAATCGCGAAGACATACACAGCGCGCTTCGTCGTCTTCGGCACAGGATACTACAACTACAGCGAACCCCTCGCCACAGCCATTCCAGGCCTTGAAACCTTCACGGGCCACACAATCCACCCCCAATTCTGGCCTGAGTCGCTCGACTACACGGGCAAGAAAATAGTAATAATCGGCAGCGGCGCAACAGCCATAACCCTCCTCCCCTCCATCTCACAAAAGGCCGCGCACACAACCATGCTCCAACGCAGCCCCTCCTACATCCTCACCATCCCCAACCGCAGCGGGCCCCCCAGCTTCCTCTCCCGCCTCCTCCCCACATGGCTGTACCGCAAACTCCAACGCATATGCTTCATCCTCTTCTCCCGCACCCTGTATGGCTTCTGCCAGCGCTTCCCCCGCCTCGCCCGCTACCTGCTTCGCCGCTCCGTCTCCGCCCAGCTGCCCAAGCACATCCCGCACGACCCGCACTTCAACCCGACATACAACCCCTGGGACCAGCGGCTGTGCATCACGCCAGACGGCGATTTCTTCCAGTGCCTCCGTGAGGGACGAGCGGATGTGAAGACCGATACGATTAGGCGGGTCACGGCGCACGGGATCGAGTTGGACTCCGGCGAGTTTCTGGCGGCGGACATCATCGTTACCGCGACGGGCCTGAAACTGCAGATCGCCGGTGGGATCAGCATCGCCATCGACGGCGCAGCGAAGTCGGTCCACCTGCCCAGCAAGTTCCTCTGGAACGGGGTTATGCTGCAGGACATCCCCAACGCGTGCTTCGTCATTGGCTACGCGCATGCCTCGTGGACGCTAGGCGCGGACGCGGCGGCCACTTTCCTCGTGCGCCTACTGAAGCATATGGCTGCGCGCGGTCTTGTGGCTGCTGTGCCGCGGATGGAAGAGAGCGAGCAGGCGGGGTTGGAGACGAGGTCGTTGTTGAGTTTGAGCTCGAATTATGTGAAGAGGTCGCAAGGGGAGGTGCCGATGGCGGCGAATAGGAGGCCGTGGCTGCCGAAGGGGGATTATCTGGGGGATTACTGGTTTGCGAGGTGGGGGAGCTTGAGGAGGGGGTTAGAGGTTGTGAAGGGGCGGGAGGGGGAGGGGTGGCGGTTGGTGGAGGCGATGAAGAAGCGGGTGTAGGGGGGTCTTAAGTCGCCGGTGTAACTAAAGACCGATATTTTGATTTATCATTTATTTATTATTTCTTTATTTTTGTATATAGAGGAATGCTGCAGCTGTATTCAATAGCACTTCTGTAGAAGTGATGCCATGTAAGCTTTAGTTACTCCCCAGCTTCGAGAAAATAAACTGTACATCTCCTCTGAAGGTGTTATGGATCTACACGTGTACATGGAGGAAACGCTGCAGGCTCAGCGGTGGTGACAGGGTTGCTCTTTTTCTTTGGTCTTCGAAAGGGCCGTGATGGGCACGAAAAGCTTTGCTCCTCCTATGTTGCTATCCTGGTTGAACGAGCCTGTTCGTTCTCTTGCAAACCAACAACCAACAACTGCCCATCTCAATATGATATGACGCTGCCCCGGTTCGTCAGTTACTCAACCCCCTCCACACCATTCAACAGCATTGTGTCGACTTGACTGGCGAGTCGCCAGAGCAGTCTAAGTACAGAGACAGGTTAACTAGTTCATGGCGGCCCGTTATCGCGGAGAGAATCCGTCATTCCACAGGCGTGACGGTAATTTATAGGTAATGATGCACCGAGGATCTCAATTATGCACATGGAAACTCGTGGCTGGGATAGGCCGATGATATTCACCGAAGAAGGTGAAGCGTTAAGCGTCACTCAAATTTCGCGACTGTAACTCACGTAACGTTTAACTAGAGTTAGTTAAACCATTGAAAGCTCCGTCACATAACATCGGGAAAGTTTGTCGTCAGTCCAACATCTTGGAAATCTGGCTATGGCTCCGGACTTCGTCCTGGATATGCTCTTTGCCCCAAACCAGTTACCTGTGGTTCAAAATGCGGCGTTTCGAGAGAATCCATGACATCGTTGAGCCCGTTGAGGAGTACCGCCAGGGAGGATATTATCCAGTACACCTCCACGATGTATTCAACGGGAGGTTACGAGGTTATTGGAAAGTTGGCGTTTGGCCAATTCTCAACTGTATGGCTCGCACATAATCAACTGTGAGTCTCTCCTTCAGCAGACCATCTTTCCTCCGTGACAACTAACTAACCACCACTCCATTTCAGACTCCAGCGACATGTTGCATTGAAGATACTGAAAGCAGATGTTTCCAGAAACAATAAAGAGCTTGCTATGTTCCTTAAATTATCTGCTCCAGGCCTAGATCATGGATTATTTTGAGCACGATGGCCCAAATGGTACACACTTGTGTCTAGTGCTCCCTGCAATGATATCTGACGGTGAAGTAATAAGTGTCAGTGGAAGGCCGCACCAGGCAGCCTACGTACGAGCTATTTCCAAACAAGTCTTGCTGGGTGTTGACTTTCTCCATGAGCTAGGCATCACTCACTGCCGTAGGTCAGCGTCTGAGGCATGAAAGTTGGCGATATCCTGACTTGATGTAGATCTACAAACTGCAAATGTTCTGTTTTCAATTGTTGGGGCTGCACACGCTGAGGCTGAGGTGTTCTTGCAGCCCCCCGAGTTCAGTCCTGTTAGGTGGCTGGAAGGAATGAAGGTAAATGATAGCGCGCCCAAATATTTGATGACTTCACAGAGACGCGCCGGGGCGAACTGGCCGACGCAGACTTCACCACAATCTTGGTTAAGATTGGTGATCTGGTTGGGGGGGGGGGGGGGTATGATGCACCCTTTATTATATCCCAAATCTGGTCACAAGAACTCTCATATCATTGTCTAGCTACGTGGAGTCAACAATGTGATCAGTGGCCGGTAACACCGGCAGCTTTGCGTGCACCTGAGCTAATCCATCGAAACACTTGGGATGCTAGTATTGATATCTGGGCCTTACCATCTCATCGCCTTTCCTTAGCCTTCTTATGCTGGTGAAACCTTTTTGGCTGGCATGGTGTTTGTCATGGTTGGAGGGATTAAACATCTACCAGAGTTGGTTGTAATTTACAACAGATTTAATAGAAGATAACCCTGCCAGGATAACCCCTATAAAGTACGTGTAAACCCATGATCAGGTCATGCTTTATGATATTTTTTACTCACTAAGGGGTGGTGTTGTCTAGTTAGTATTATAACTCTTTCAATAAGTTACATAGATAGTTTCTGTAACATATCCATATTACTGCATACATAAGCAGTTATTATATCTTTTCTTTATTTAAAGAGAGTATGTACACAAAATTCTTGATTTAAAATTAATTTCCAAAGAGAATAATTACATCTATCATAGCTCAACTAGAGTCATGATGATATAGAGAAAAAGCTTGAATTAATCTATTTAACTAGACAGCTGCGACGAGAATACTAAACTGGGAATTAGAATGTGGGAATGAATGAGCAGCAGAATATATATAGATGGTTGAGAATCAGAGCGGATCAACCAAAGTAACTGAATATGATTGAGATTGGAATAGATCAATCTTATTCCACATTACCAGCGGCTGCGCTGTAACACAACTCTTCATAAAGTGATGAAAGTGTTGAATCCACTGAAAAGAGATTTGATCATTGTTATAGCCAGTGTCTGATATGCTCATGACAGTATTTTTCTTAATCTCATTAGTCCAGCACTTCTGTAGTTGCTTCACAGTGAGAATGTACAAAGAAGAGATGATAAAGCCATCTATTGAGATTGCTTCAATGATTACAAAAATCTCTCTATTATTTGAGCTTTTAATATAAGTCTGTCTTTGAGAATCTTGCATTACTATTCACTGATCTCATTCAATTTCTATTTTGAACCCTGTTTCATCAAAGTTATAGATATCACTAAGTTGAACCTTAAACTTATTCACTGTCTTCTTAAAATGATTAAATCAATCAAGTATGAATGATGACTTATGAGCTTGCTTTCTTGCCATGTCAATGATCTTCTGCTGTTATATATTGTATTCAGAATGATGTTTGATGAATCTTTTAACTTAATATTCTTCAATCTCAAATGAAAGATCAATGAGATCTTCATAACTTTTTGCAAAAATTAATTGAGCAATATCAAATATCATTGATTAATTGGAAGATAGTAATTGATTAGCAGGTGTTCTTTTAATGCAAGAGAGGCAGCTATGAAATTAATTAATCAAATATAAGTAGAAAATATTAAATTCTTTCATCAATGCATTAAAATTAGAATTTTCAACATTGACTATGAATTCTATGAATTCTGTGATCTTATTCTCTATTAAAATATATAAAGAAGTCAATGTATTGACTAGTTATTGAATTTTAAAGATAGAATAGAAAAATAATATGACTTATCACTAAATGAGCTGTATCACTAAATAAGCTGCGTTTTTGCAATATGCTATAATTTAATTCTTCAACTTTCACTGCTTTGATATATCAAATGAAGAAGCTATTCAACTTGCAATTAAGGATTTAAGAGCTCAAAAGGTCAAAAATTTCACTACAACTGCTAAGAAGCACTCAATTAATAAGGAAACACTGTGCTGGTGTTATAATGACTTGCAACTCACACAGGATGAAGCAGCCTCCTAACATAAGAAGAAGCTCTCAAATCAACAAGAACAAATACTTCTGCTTCATATAGAGAAGCTTGCAGCTCATGGCTTTGCTTCTATACCTCAAATCATTTAAAATCTCATTGTAGAAATTATCAAAGAATCTGTTGAAATTCACTAAGTAAGACACTTTACTGAGTAATATAAGACTCAAATTCAAAGAATCTATGTCTGTGGCATTGATTATAAATGCAAGATAGTAGATAATTCTACTCATTTTGAGTATTATTTTCAGCTAGTATTTTGATCTTTTACTTGTTTTCTTGCACTAAGTTCTCTATAGACTCTTGCTAACTATTTTGCTGTGTGACTACATAGTTGAATGAGAGGATCAAAAAATACAATATTAAGTCATTAAATATCTACAATTGTGATGAAAAGAGCTTCTTAATTGACATCAGCCAGGCTACTAAGCAGATTGTTTCAGTTGAAGCTCTGAAGACATAGTAAATTACTGCAGTTCAAGATGACATCTGTGAATTCATCTCTCTACATTCTTGCATTAAATCTGATAAATTGAAAAAGTGTAGTGAATGTGTTTAAGTTGGCTATTGTTATGTCATGGATTTTAGCATTTCTTATTCTAACTGAAACAAGTTATACCATGCTCAGAAGAAGTTAGAGAAAGAAGAGACTTAAATTCTTCAAAAGTTACTTCATCTCTAAAAACAAAAAAAGTTTCTCTGTGAACATACTGGTTATTTTCTTGAATCTGATGCAAAATATTTAGAGGAATTGAAAAAGTTGAAAGAGGAGAAGAAAAAACAGTGTGAGATGCAAGCTGCTTAGCAACAAGAGATGAAGCAGCTTCTCACTACTATTGATGACTTTTTTTTTAAACTTTCTGATTCACAGCCCACTTAGCTGAATCAATCTTCAGATTTTGTCAGTAAAACTATTGAACTATCTGTATCACATTTGCCAGATATTTGATAGATTCTCAGATGTTTTCTGAGATATCACATTTTTTTTACTTAATTAGATAGTGATTTTTTTTGCTAATTCTTTGTTTGTTCAGAATTCTTTTGATCTTGTATTCATCTTCTTCCAGATTAACTTCTGTTCTGTATTGTTTAGTGTTTTGTGATGCTTTTTCCAGTAGTGAGACATGAAAAATGAGGTATATTCACATGATTTTTGATAATTGAAGTTTATAATTAACTGGTTCTGTTTTTTTTATAATTTCAAATGGTTCTAGCTTTTTGTGGTTCAATTTTTCATTTGATCTTCTGATTTTTATGTTTCTTTGTAATAGAAACACTTTCTCTCCCTCTCTAAAATGAGGTGCCCTCTGGCATTTTTTGTCATAGTAGTACTTCATTTGTTTGCTGACAAATTCAATTTTCTTTTACAGATATTGATGCAATTCTTGTAACTGTTTTGTCCTTAACTCAGCTTTCTGTGCTTTTGTCTTGACTGATAGACTTTTCTGTAGAATGTCTGATTCTCTTCTATAGTTCATGAAGAAAGATGTGAACTCTGTGATTGCATTTTTCAAACTGTTATATGTCAATTGTGCTAGAGGTAGAAATTCTGCTCAGTTGTTTTGTTGATAGTTGACATAACAACATAAGTATTGTTTTACTGTCTGATTCAATCATTCAGTTTGTCCATTCATCTGTGAATGATAGACTCTTGAAAGCTTGCTTTTTATTTCTAATCATGCTGTTAGAGTTTGCTAGAATTTTGAAGCAAATCTGATGTCTCTGTTCATTATAATCTCTTTTAGCATTCTGTAATTTGCAAACACATTTCTGAGTATAATGTATGTAGTCTCTGATGCTGATGTCACTTCTTAGTATGATATGAAGCAGATGTATTTCATCAGTCTGTCTGTGACTGCAAGTATTAAATCATATACTTCTCTTGTCTGTGCTTCTTTAAATTTTGACAGCTTGACTATAAAATTCATCACAATTGAATCTCATGATCACTTTAGCTGTGATATTGATTGCAGTAATCTGTATGATGCATGTCAGTCTGACTTACTTCTTCTACAAGTTTCATAGTTTCTAATGTATTTTCATATATCTGCTCACATTCCTGGCCAGTAATATGTTCTTGTGATTTTCTCCATGGTCTTGTCAATGCCAAAGTGTTCTGAGGTGATAGCATCATGTCTATAAGAGGTTGAACTCCTAGATTCGCTCTGGCTGGCTGACTCAGCCTAGCCATCATTTGCACATGCGCATGTGATCATGCTACGTGAGCTCACTTAAGCTCAAGTTCTCATCTCATTTTTTTCTTCCCTTTCTCAAACAATTCGTCCTTGTTATATAGGAGGACTAGCCTCTAGTTCTTAGAACTTAACCCTTTACATTATGAATTGCTTGACTTCTTTTATTGATAGGCCACTGAGAGTCTTAATCCTGTATCATGAAGCTCAGCAAACATGCTGACATATGATAGACTATTGAGAGCCTTAAATCCTGCATCACAAAGTCCAGTGATAGCACTGGTATATGAATAGACTGGGTTAGCAATTGTGCTAATGAACAAATGAGCAACATTGAAAACATCTAACTGAATGAGATAAAGCAGCAGATTTGTACAATGAATATACAAATGAATCAATGTGAAGCAATGAGCAGAGATGCTCTCAGCAGCTTTGAACAATAATAAATGACCTTTCTTCAACAGCAGAAACAGATTCAACATGAGAACAGAAATTTAATAGCAGCTCAG